TCCCCGCGGCGGGAGCGCCGGGAAAAGCCGCGGGGATGGGCACGGAGGGGGCTCCGCGTGCCCCCGGGCACCCTCCCCTTCGCCCACGGTGTCAGCTTCCCTGGGATGCTCCCAGCGCTCGCGGAGTAAGCCGCCGCGTTAGTCGCGCTCTCCGCAGTGGGACAGGGGTAAAGGGAGGAGGAGCAGCCAAGCAGCTTAGAGTTCTCAGAATCACAGAGGTTTCTGTTTTCTGTAGCACATGACTACAGACAGATACTGGAGAAAATGGAGCCAACGGGTTGTGTATCACTGCTACTGYAAAAAGTGAAGAAAGTGAAGTCTGTGATAATCTTTAATTTCTCAGTAAAGTTTGTTTAAGGAAGTCCCAGCGAGATGATTGAATGGGGTTGTCTTCCTGCATGAATAAATGCACAGCTGTCTTTAAAGATGCATCGTCTTGTCTCACGGCAAAACTTGACCCACAATGCGTTATCACACTTTTGAGAATTGTCACCAGAAAAAAAAAAAAAAAGCAATTTGGATATTTAAAATGCTCATGCTCTACGAGGAAGTGTTTTATCACTATTTTTTTTTCCTGGCAGAAGTTGCGGATAAGAACGCTGCAATGTGAGGTGTGTGATATCATATTACTGGGACGTATTTACTGGGACGTATTTGACCGCTTGAGTAGCCTGCCCTGCCCCAGATGATAAGGGCATAGTTCATGATATCCCCTAACATTATTGTCAGCATGTAAGCATACATGCAGGGAGGCTTTGCCTGTAAAATAAAACTAATTACTGCTATCATACCAGATGAGCTACTACATAGTCTATTTTTCTCAGACCTTTCCATTGACCCACTGTCAGAATCTTGACAATTTTGGCAGTCTTTCCTGAGCAAAGCTTGGAGGCTTTGTCAAAACTGCACGATTGAAATAGAAAATAGTTTGCAGATTGGTTGCTACTGGGATCAGTTACCTCATGTTTGTCTCATGATTAAAAATCACATTTATATATATATACACACATATACATATACATACAAAAACAAACAAAAAATACAGATTTTTCTTASCTCATTGGCAATGTCTGTCCCTACCACTGCTGTTCCTTGTTTCCTTGTTTCTGGGTAGCTAAATGTAACTGAACTATTAGCTTATCATATCAATCTCCTGTTTCTTGTCTTAATAATGAATTTCCATTTTGAAACTTTTTTATTCTCTTTCTGTGGGAGATAAATCTACTGCCCTATTTTTTTTTTTTTTTTGTCACCATAAATATGTTTTTGTCACTGTAATGAATTGTCAGAATAATTCCTGAGAGCAGGAAAGATTCTCTTCAGAGAAAGTGCTCTTCCTGAGTCACAAGGAAATTAATTATATGCATTTGTAATGCATTGCGGCGTTAAACAGAGCTAGTCACATTGCCATTTAGTTGCCATTCTCTTTCAGTTGTGATATTCTATTTTAACCCACTGAAAACTTTGGCAAGGTTATAACTTTTTCAAAAGTATGTTTAGGCTTTAAGCTGACCATGATTTAGGAAAGCCAAAAGTGGTTCTCCAGGTATTCATAGGAATATCTATGCATACTGCAGTAATATCGAAATGCTCAGAAGCTGGAGCTGARCACCAGGTCTGTGAAACTTTATTTTGTCCATATGTATTGTTTTACATAGTGCATATGGTCACCTAACAGTTTTGTTTTAGACCTCTATTTCATGCACAGCACTGGAAGAAGAAATAGTATTTAATGAGATATTTTTCTACTGTTTCTCCCACTCATTCTGGCATTATGTCTAATCTATTGTGTTCTCCTCGAGTTTTTCTGTGAATACAGAATTATGGATTTCACCATTTTTTTTCTTTCTCTCTGATGGTTATTTTGACAGAAGCCRAGTGCTTGTAAACACTAACACATTTATTTTCACAGTGTAGCTACAAAGCCAAGGCATACTATTATCTTCAGTTAACAAGTAGAAGTTTTGAGATCCATAGAAACTAAGATAAAAAAAACAAAACCACAAAATTTAAGTTTCTAATTTGARACAAATATAGGACTTGATTTTTTATAACTATTTAGCATTATGTCACATTTCATTTGCCTACTTATAGCTCTTATTCACTTCATTTACAGATTTAAGCACTCAGCAGATCTATAAATCAAATTCTCATCAGTCATTCAGGGATTTGGTTAGGGGCTACTGATGTTAAATTCATGGTAAGTAACTTGCATAGACTCAGTTATAAACTCAGAAGAAAAGTTAACATTTTTCTTCCAGGAAATCTTTTGATTTACACAATGGCCTTTACCAAGGCATAACTGCCATAATCATTGACCTGTTCTACTCTTCCTGGCAGCCTTTGCTTTACTTACTACTGAGTCTTCAACTTCTGTCACCAGTGTGGAAGACCTACTTAATACAGTCTATAAACTCTCTAACTTCACCAGCTTGGTTCATCATCAGTTCACACCCATGCACCATGTCAAGGAAAGCAGGGGCCCTATGATATAAGTGGTGCTTTATCCACAAATCTAACAAAAATGCATTTATACGAGAAACATATTCACTCTTTTGACTTACTAGTATTGCAACATTTACACATTGTAATGTGTAATTGTAAATGTGCAATTTTTGCACATTTGTGTATGTAAATGGAATATAAACCAAACAATGTATATTGTATGTCATCCCATGGGTSATGAATATTTATCACAATTAAAACTAAACAAATTAAACTTTACATCAAGATAACCTGAATAGCTCCCGTATCTAACTAATCCAGTTAGGATTACCTTCTTGAGATATCAAAAGCAAAATATCTCAATCATAACAACAGAAACAGAACAGTCTATTTTAAGCTTTACCTTGAAGTTGACCTGTTAATCATTCACTAAAAAAGTTTATCTAATAAACTTAGCTACTTTTTCATTTCATGGAATAGTTGTGAACATGATGTCTATCTTTTTATGTACTTCTATTTTGGGTTTTCTTTTTCCATGCATGTTTCTAGTATTTTTTTCTTTACCTTTTCCTGTTGTTTTTTTCTTTTCTACTTTAGGAATAGTGACATCCTTGAAATTACACAATATTGCTTATCATGACTGTGTCCTTTACATGATTGTACAAATACTCTGACATCAATTTTTAGACAAATATGAACAAATATGAACATATGAATGAAAGCATTTTTTCACAAAGGAAGATGATCCAGGTCGATTTCCTGCATGTAGGTTCCTTACTCTTAAGTTTAGGGGAGAGCAGATTTTAGACATTCTCATTGTCCAGTTACATTGCCCATTTACAATCGATATTTTATTGAAATTATGTCCAGAAGCTTTAAATCAGTCTTACTTGAAGTATATTTATCTGAAATTTGATGGTATGATTCTTTACAAGAGGAATAAGCTTCTCTGGTTAATATTTTGTAAAATGTGCATTATCATTTTCAGATGACTTTTACAAAAATATTTCCTTCATACATCGTTTAGTTACTCTGATTATTCACTGTATATACAAATTGTACATTTTACTTACTTATTCTGGTAGCTTTCCAAAGGACTCTGTAGAAAGAGGTTTGCATTAAAGAAATGAAGAAGTACTTCCACTATGTAAAGTAATGATTCTTTTCTACACAAATATCAGTTATCAAAACCTGTTTGTTTTGTTGCCTACTTCTGTGAACAAGTGCTGTCATTTGCCTTTCTTACACATTGATTTTACTTCTCAAATATTCCTCCAGGTGASATAGCTCAGCAGGAATATGAAGCCCATTAAAAATCAAAAACAAACAAACAAAGAGGATTTGAGGAATTTATGAAGGATTAAATGTGTGTGAGTGAGCAGGTGAATGACTGAAATTGTTCTATTGTAAGAAGCTCGTGAAACAGAGGGGCTGTGTGGCAGCTGGGAAAGCCTGAGCACAGAAGGAACTGCAAAAGCCTTTCTCTTACTCAGTGCAATGCAGAACACCACTGCAAGCTGTCCCCTCTGTACTATGCCAGCTCCCAATTGTGAAATGCTTGCTTACTCACAGTTYGGGCATTTTTGTTTGTTTGCTTTAATCCATTAAAGTTTTACCACAAAAATGCACAAAAATACTCTGAACAGTCATTCCATAAACTGTTTCCAGAATACACCTCACTATTCATTCTCTTTGTACAAAATACTGAGGTTCCTGTCTTCTTCCTGTGGAAAAACAAGGGTTATGAACTCAGATAACATGACACTGAAAGCAAGGAGTAAATACTGAACTTTAGACTCCATGCAACATACCTCAGAGTGATGCACAAATGAGTGATGACTCAAATGTCAACAAAAGTAGAGAAAACACATCCCATGACCTGTAAATCTCACTACCAAAATACTGAGAAAGGCTAYATACATTGCTAATCTGTTAGTACAACTTGGTGCACTGATAGATAAATATATCAAAGTGGCAAAAGCTGACTGTTATAGTTTCTCTGTATAGACTTGTCCTGTGATATACCATACTCATAGAAAACTAGAGACATTTTAATACAAGTCATTCTGGCATTCATGCTCTATTTTCTTATTTAATTAAAGATAGTTTTCTGTGGATTTGGATACTCCACAAGATTGATTAAGTTTTCCAGAAAGCTAGATCTTTTAAATCTTTCCAAGGCAGTGTATTAGTACTTTCTATCTTGTCTTTTTTTGTTGTCTTCCTCTCTCAAGGGTTCTTCCCTTGGAAGGGAAATAGTTGAATATAGGGGTCAAAAGTGTACTGCATAAAATGGAATTTAATCATAGGCATTTTATGTACTTTGTCAATATGTCTTTGGAGACTGTTTTGTACAGATGAGATTTGGTTTGTTAACTCAAATTCACATCCAGTGCGGAGATTCAAGGCCAAAAC